AAAAAAAAAAGAAAGAAAGAAACAAAAGATGAAAAGTAGAAGATGAAAATCACAGGTAAATCCATTCCTCAGGGATAACATCATCCATGTTCTAGTACAAATCTTTCTAGACCCTTTAATATATATCTGTTTAAACAACATAAATAGGATCATGGTGCACATACTGTTGTGGAACCTGCTTATTCCGCTCCATGATGCATGCTGTGTGTCTTCCCGTGTTGATAAATAGAAATTTGTATGTTTTTTAACGGCAGCCATAGTGTTTTATGTAAGAATGGGACCATACTCCACAGAACTATTCCAGTTTTTTACTATTATAAATAATGCTGTGATGAGTATCTTTGTCGATCTCCACCTTTGGACATCTGTCCAAGTGCTTCCTTAGAAGAAACTCCTGCAGTAGAAATTGCTACATCAGAAGTTTTGACATTGAAAGCTTTGATACAAGTTGTCATTTTCCCAGGATAATGAATGATCCATTGAAGGCGGCTATTCTGGCGCCTCCCTCCCTGCTGGATTCTGCCCCTCCCCCACTGGCTTTCCTAAGGCGTGTTGACTCTTTTTCAAACCCTAGATGTGTCTGTTATGAGAGCGGAGCATCTGCCTTTGGCTCACATGTGCCACAAAACATGCCGCAGCCTGGGAGTGCTCCACCTCGCCGCTCTCACCTGCAAAGCCAGACCTCGCCCGGTCACATGGTGCCGAGCCCACAGCGCTCCAGGGAGGAAGTGGCCCAGCTGGGAGCACACCCCGAGCAGCCGCCTCTGGTGAGTATCCCAGGCCCTGTGGGCTGGGCCTCCCTATTTCATGATGAGCCAGTGAGCCCAGAGAGGGCCCTGAGGGGGCTTGCAAGGTCAGCAGAGGGTCGCAGCAGAAGGAGAGACAGAAAGCCTTTCAGTAAGCAAGCAGGCCCTGGCCACGGCCCTGCACTGTTAACGGTCCTACGTTCTGAGGTAGGTGGGTAGGGACAGGCGTGAGGGGACGGGGACCATGCAGTTCTCGATGGCCCTCTTCTGCTTCTGTGACACAAATGCAAGTTACCACCAGTGGTTCTCTCTCGGCCTCCTGTTGTCACACCGTGGCACTCGAAGGAGTCTGCTCCGTGCGTGGGGAATGCCGCAGCTCACTGACGCAGGGCGATGGAGATGACTACTCTTAGCAGAAGATCAACAAGTGGCTGCCCCCACCCCAGGAATGAGTCGGCCTTGTCTGTTCCAGGGTGAGGAGCAAACCCATTCAGGAAGGAAAAAGCCCATTCAGTTCGTGGCATCAGCTCCTGCCTACCGTAGTTGAAGCACAACCCAAAGGTTGGCTGAAGCGCTAGAGCAGAGGTTGGCAAACTACAGCCCGTGGGCCAGGCCCCACCTGTTGCCTGTTTGTGTGAATAAAGTTTTATTGAGACTCAGCCATGCCCACCATTTACATATAGTCCAGGGCCGCTCTTGCATTACAACGGCAGAATTGAGTACCTGAGACACAGACCATATGACCCACAAAGTCTGAAATATTTGCTATTTGGCCCTTTTTAGAAAAAGTTTGCTGACCCCTGCCCTAGAGATTTGTAGTGAGGGGCAGCAGAAAGCCATAGGCCTGGTGTGTGTTCAAGGGGCCAAGCCTTCCTTGCCCATAAACCCTGGTCCCATCATCCCACCTTGCACTCACCTTCAAATCCGGGGCTCAGGCCCGGGAGCGTCCCTGGCCCAGTGCGGGAGCATTTTACGTGTATTCAGTAGATGTGACTGGCCAGGAGCTGCTTAAATACACTGTTTACCCGAAGCCCAGCTGCATCGCTCCGGCTAACAGAGGATTGTGAGTCCTTTGTGCTTGAAACCGTCCAGTCTCAATTCTTCCCTGTCATAAGATTGGTCTGTTTCTTCTCTCCCCACCCCTCCCCCACTTTTTTCTAACAGAACAAAGAATGCATTTTGCGCTCTAGAAAACAAATGCAAATCTGTGGTTTATAAGGCTGAATCATTTTCTAAACCTGTAGCACATCAGGAGCCCTGACAGACCACTTTGCAGAGAGAGCACAATTTGAAGCTAGAAAAAAGTTAGTGATCCTTGGAAAGGGATCAGAAGTGTCATAGAATGTACTAGCCTTCCAGAAGAGTTTGTGCTCAAAGGGAGCTTTCTAGCTACGCGGCCACTTTACAGCAGTCCCCACTGATTACAGGAGGCAGAATTCCGACACCCCTCATGTCTCACGGGAGCTGCTTCTGTGTGGCTGGAGGTGCTTCTTGGGGTGGGCCTGCGGCTAAGCCCGGTGCTGTGCTGGGTGCC